TATAAAAAAAATAAAAATAAAAATATATATATAGAAATATATATAAATATATATATATAATAACTTCAAAATAAATTATATATATATATATTAATATCTTACTAAATTTTTTTAATTTTAAAGAAAACTTAAAATTATTAAATAATATTAAAATAAATATGAACTTTAGTAAAACATATTATATAATATATTACTTATTAATTTTTAAAATACTTTAATTTATAATTTTAAATATTTATATAGGACTATAAAATTTTTAAACTATAAAAAAAGAAATTATATTATTTAATTTATATTTAAAATATTTTTATTTAAAATATAAATAATTATATTATTTTTGGTTTATATATTTTAAAAATTAAATTAAAAAAAATATATATAAATATTATTATTAATAAATAAAAATATAAAATAATTTTTAATTTGTAATTAATTTTTTTTTTATCTAATAAATAATCTTATTAAACAATTATATTATAAAATAAAATTTTAATAAATAATTTTTTTATTTTATTTTTTTTCAAAAAAATATATTATAAATCATATTATATTATTAATATAAAAATATATTTTTAAAAAAATGCTATGCAAATAAAAAATTTATTTATTATTGAAACAGAAATATAATTAATGTCCCATTTATAATTTTAATAATTTAAATAAAAAAGAAAAAAAATAGTTGAAATTTTATGAAATATTTGATTTAAATAAAAATAAAAACCTTGCAGTAAAAATAAGAATTCTAAAATACATAAAACCATATATAATTCCTTTTGCACATAAAAATAGTAAAAAAAATAATAAATATATATATATTATATATATATATTTATATATTTATTTATATATAGGTGAAGTTAATATAATTATTTTTAAGTCTTATTTATATTTATTTTTATCAAAATCATTTTTTTATGGAGTAATTTATTATAGTTATATTTTTATTTTTTAATTATTATTATAAAAAAGGGACCATTATTTATGAAATATTCTATTAATGTTTTACAAGATACTGCCCTTATATATTAAGCTCCCATTTTTCTATTAGCATATGGAATATGTATTGAAATATTTAAAATTATATTAAATATATTTTTATTTTTTATTAGGTTATTCTTCATATGTAATTTTTGATGGATTAAGAAATTAAATTTTGGCATAAGTTTATTTTCTTTATTAAAAAATTTTAATATAAAAATATAAAGATAAGCTAGAATGCACTTAGAGAAATATCTATGTAGACTTATTAACATTTATTACAATTGGATCCTACTTTTCATTTTGGAGAATCATAAAGACAAACAATGTTTGATATAATAAAGGCTTAAAAAGGAATAGAGTCAAATTTAAAAAGCGTGACTTAGTTTTTCATTCCATTTATTTCTGATATTGGATTATCTGCTTTTTTCTTATTATATCATTGCGGACCTTTTTTCTTTATTTCTTTTTTGGCTACATATAGTGGTTATATATGGTATACTTTTGATTTATCAAATGTATATATATATAAATTTATATTTTTAGAAATAAAAATTATATAAATATAATAGTATAGAATTTAAGCAATGAAATTATAAAAATAATATGATAGATAAGCTGATTTTACATTAAGCGAGACACTTTCAAATTATTATAATGTGAAATATTATAATGCCGAATAGTTTGAAATATAAAGATATGCAGATATTTAAAAAGTTAATATATTTTTAAGTCATTACATATATATATATATATAAAATTTTTATTTAAAATATAATATTATTTAGAAATATTAAGAATAAGCAATATTAAATTAATAAACTTTATCAAAATTAAATAGTGGATAAAGAATCATTTTCTCAGCTGGACTAACAGCAAATATGATTTATGGTGCATTTAAAGTTTAACAAGGATTAATGAGAGCAGGTGATATTGTTTTAGTATAGTCAGTTATGATGCAAGTTAACAAAAATAAATTATATATAATGGAAATAATATATATTTTTATATATATAAAATAAATAGGTCTATTAACCATTATTTATATTAGGTGTATAATGGAGAGAATGGACTAATTCTTCTTTAGATATTTAAAGACTTTTTAAAATAATGGATATGAAACCAAAGTATATTTTTTTTGATTAATTACTCATTTAAAAATTAATAGAATTTAAGATAAAGAAAATGCAATAAATTATTAATATAAAGGGGGTGAAATAGTATTAAAAAATGCTAGTTTCAGTTATAATGATAAAAAGGAAATCTTAAAAAATTTAAGCATTGTATTTGATTAAAAAAAACTAATTTCTATTGTAGGAAAATCGGGAATAGGAAAAACTACAATGTTTAATTTAATAGTAATATAATAAAGAAAGATAAATATAAATATATTTATTATATATATATATATCTATATATAAATATATATAATATATATATAAAAATTTTATATATATATATACATATATATATTTTTAAATATATATATTTATAATTTTTATTAATATATATAGGTAAGACTTTATGATCCAATATAAGGAGATGTATTTATAGATGGATAAAATTTAAAAGATTTAAAATAATCTAGTTATAGAAAATATGTATGTGTAATTTCTTAACATCCATATTTATTTTATGATACTATTCTATCAAATATATTATATGGAAGTAATAATAAAAGCTAGGAATAAGTTATTGAAATATGTAAAAGTTTAAACTTACATGATTTAATAATGGTATATCCTTTTATATATTTTTTATTTTATATTTAAATAATAAATAAACAAGGGTTTACCATAGGGTTATAATACATATGTAGGAGAATAAGGTTACAAATTTTCAGGTGGAGAAAGATAAAGAATATCTATTGCAAGGGCTTTAGTAAACGATTCGAGTATCTTATTAATGGATGAGCCTACTAGTAGTTTAGATAGTAAGAATGAGGAAGATTTTATGAAAATTATATAGAAAATTAAAAAAGATAAAACTATTATAATGATTACTCATAGATTACATTTAAATGATTATTTTGATGAGGTTCTTTATATTGATGCGGAAGGTTTTTATGAAAAAGGAAGTAATTATGAGTTAATTAATAAATAAGATGGAATGTATAAGATGTTTTGGGAAAATATATGAAAATTAAAAATTAAGAACAGGAGAAATAAAAATAAAAAGAAAAAAAAAAGAAATATAAGAAAATATATAATGAAAAATATTTTTTTAATGTAAATTATTAATATTATAATTTTATTTAAACATACATAAAATTTTTAAACTTTTTTTTTAAATAAAAATATTTTTTTATTATATTTTATTATATTTTTAATAAAAAATTTAATAAATTTATTTAAATAAATATTATTATATATATATATATTTATTTATATATTTCTTATTTATAATTTTTTGTTATCATTTAATAAATTTATTTTTTTTATAAAAATTTATTAATATTTATTTCTTTTTAAATAATAATATATATTTTATTTTTTTATTTTTTTTAAATAATTTTTTTTTTTTACTACTTTTATTATATTTAAATAAATATTTGTTTTTTATATTTTAAATTTTATTTTTTAATTTAACTAATACACTTTTTATTTTTTTTGTATTTTGATTATATATTATTAATATAATAAAAATTTATTTATATTTATTTTAAGATTATTATTTTATTTATTTTTTGTATATTATAAATACTTAATTGCTAAAATTTTTATACTTAATAATTTTCTTTATACTTTTATTTACATATTCTATTATAGTAATATCGAAATATTACCCAATATTATTCAACCTTTTAATAATTTATTTATTTAAAGATAAAATATAATAAAATAATAAAATATTAAAAATTTTTATTTATATTATTAATAATATTTTTTGTTTTTTAATTAAAAAAGGCCTATTTTCCAATAATAATAATACAGGTAATAAATTTCATTGGGTATATTATTTTTCGACTGAACTAAAAAAATATAAAAATTTATATAAGGATTAGTTTTTTGTTAATGAATATTATCTAATCACATAAATATATATATATATATATTATTTAGTTGTATTTATATTTTATAGTTTTCAGGTTTTTTTTTATATTTATTTAATTTTTTGATATTTTAAAAACACAATATATTTATTTTAGAAATAATTTAAAAAAAAAAAGTTGATTTTTACTTCTCCTTTTATCGTGTTTCAGATTTTGCAAAATAATATATATTTTTAATATATTTTCTTAAATTTTATACATAAAACAGGTTTCTATATAAATATTATATATTTTTATTATATGTCTTCTTATTCTAGCTTTAAAATAGTGAAAGATGAGCTTATTTTTTTCTAAGTATTTATTTATAATCTCAGTATCTTATTTTACGTGGTTTATTTATATTAAATTTAAAAGTTTTATTTATAAGAATATATTTTGATATTATATAATTAAAATGTTTTGATTATATATTTTTATTTAAAAAAAATCAATATTAATATATTTATAATAATTAAAATATAAAAATAAAAAAGTAATTAATTAATAAATAATATAATAAATATATATTTATTATAATTAAAAATTATATATATATATATATATATATATATATATATATATATATATATATATATCTTTCATTTTTAGAATAAGTATATTAATAAAAATTATTATTTTAATTCATATATATATTTAAAAATATAATTTTTTTAAGTTCATTATAATAATATAATTTTAAAAATAATTTAATATATTAAAAAAATTATGTTAATAAATTTATAATATACAGACTAATATAATGTAATAATTTTTTTTTTTAAATAATAAATTTTTATATATTTATGCTATATTTATTTCTTAAAATAAAAAACCTATATCTTAATAATATATTCGTCAAATAAACGACAAAATAATAATAAAAATAGAAAAAAAAGATCTTTCTAAAAAAATAAATAAAAGAATATAATAAAAAAGTCATAAAAATAAAATAAAATTAATATATATAAATAAAAAACAAAGAAAAAAAAAAAAAATGTTAAAAAAACTCTTCTAAAAAAATCCTATATATCGATTTTCTCAAATTCCACCCAGACTTCGTTAAAACAATTATTTAGTAAAAAAAATAAAAAAAAAACCAAATAAAATAAAATAAAAAAAGTATAAAAGACACTTAGGTTCTAATCCCGAACAAGAAAAATAAATGCTAGACTTTCTTTAAGTAAATAACCTCGAAGATTTAATAAAATAAACGATTCCTCCTCATATATACGATTCAAATACTCTTGAATATAACAATAGCAAAATCCCTAAAGATCCAAAAACTGAACAAGAAGTTCTTTCCCATTTACAAGAATTATCTTAAAAAAACAAGCTTTATAAGAACTATATAGGCTGTGGGTTTTATGGAACACACACTCCTCCTGTTATTTAACGTAATTTATTTGAAAACCCAGGCTGGTATACTGCTTATACACCATATTAAGCCGAAATAGCCCAAGGAAGGCTTGAAAGTTTATTAAATTTTTAATAAATAGTCATTGATTTGACTAATCTTCCGGTTGCAAATGCTTCGCTTTTAGATGAATCTTCGGCAGCGGCGGAAGTATTAAATTTGTCACTAAATCATACTTTAGGAAAAAGAAGGAAATTTTTTATTTCTTAAGGTGTTTTTCCACAAACTAAATCTGTAGTTAGGACTAGGGCGCGTTTTTTAGACATAGAAATAATCGAGGATGATCATTTGAAATTCGATTGGGAAAAAAACGAGGAATTTTTGTGCGGAATTCTCCTCTAAACGCCAGATTAAGAAGGTTTATTGCATGATTTCACTTCTATCTTCCATAAATTTAAGGATCCAAAAAAAATTATCAAAGCAGTAGCCTCGGATCTATTATCTCTTACACTAATTAAGCCTATAGGAGATATGGGAGCAGATATTTGTTTAGGAAATTCCTAAAGATTAGGTGTCCCAATGGGTTATGGAGGGCCAGCAGCCGCATTTTTTGCTGCTAAGGATGAATTTAAAAGAAAATTGCCGGGAAGAATTATTGGAGTATCTAAAGATATGGAAGGTTAACCTGCTTTAAGGATGGCTTTATAAACTAGAGAATAACATATTAAAAGGGAAAAGGCAACATCTAATATATGCACAGGTGGAAATAATTATATATATATATATAAATATATATAAATAAATATATATATATATATATATATATATTTAATTTTTATATTTGTTTAAAATAGCTTAGGCTTTATTAGCTAATATGGCTGCTATGTATTGTATATATCATGGGCCTTAAGTAATTTTTTTTTTTTTTAGTATTTATATTTTTTAAAAAGGGTTTAAAAGAAATTTCTTTAAGAATTAACGGATTTGCATAGGTTTTATGGAGTTTATTAAAGAATTTAAACTATGATTTAGTTGGTTAAAAAGATTAAATTTTTGATACTGTAACAATCAATTTAAAACCGAAAAAGTATATAAATTTTCTTTTTTTTTGAAAAAAAATATTAAAATATATATATATATATACTTTTTGTATTTGTAGAGTAAATGAAATAATATAATTATTTGAAAATAATTAAATTAATCTTAGAAAAACTTCTGATGAAAAAATAAGTATATCCTTTGACGAAACTCATACTTTTGAAGATCTTCAATAGCTTTTTAACATTTTCGCTGATTACAAATAGCATTCTCATTAAAGTCTTCTCGAATTAAACACTGAATAATACCTGTCTTAAATATGCTAGACCCTAAAAAGGCCTTAAGACAATTATTTATAGCAACCAATATTCAATTAATACCATTCAGAGACCGAAATGATGCGATATTTACACAAACTTCAATCCAAAGACATCTCTTTAGTGCATTCAATGATTCCTTTAGGTTCTTGTACTATGAAATTGAACGCCGCGAGTTAATTAATTCCTGTTTCCTACCCCGGTTTTTCCAAATTGCACCCTTACGTACCCCCAGAATAGGCTTTAGGATATAAAGAAATGCTTGAAAACCTTTCCGAATACCTAAAAGCAGTAACTAAATTCGACGGGATTTCGCTATAACCAAACAGTGGTGCGACAGGAGAATACGCAGGTCTTTTAGTAATAAAATAATACCTATAAAGCATAAATTAAGGCCAAAGAAATCTATGTTTGATCCCAACTTCAGCCCACGGCACAAACCCGGCAAGTGCTGTAGTTTGCGGAATGCAATTGTAATCAATAAATGTCGAAAACGGTTAAATAGATGTAGATTCATTAAAAAAAGAAGCAGAAAAACATAAAAATAATCTAGCGGCTTGCATGATTACATACCCTTCCACTAGTGGTATATTTGAAAGTAAAGTAAAGTAAATTATTGATATAGTGCATTTTTATGGAGGATAAGTATACATGGATGGGGCAAATATGAATGCCTAAACTGGGTTTACATCACCAGGATTTCTAGGAGCGGATGTCTGTCATTTGAATTTGCATAAAACCTTTGCTATACCCCATGGAGGAGGAGGACCGGGAATGGGACCTATTGGAGTAAGAAAACATTTAGTTCCATTTTTACCAGGAGGAAGTGGGTTTTGGAGAAAAAAGGATAATAATGTGGCAAGTAGTGGGTTTGGTAGTGCTAGTATTTTGGCTATTTCTTATTCATATTTTCTTTAGTTAGGATAGGATGGGGTTAGAAAAAGTACAGGGTTTGCAATTCTAAATGCTAATTATTTAAGGAAGAGATTGTAAGGGTACTTTAGTGTGCTTTTTGAAAAAGATTTCAATAGATGCGCACATGAATTTATTATTGATTGTAGACCTTTTAAAGAATATAATGTTAAGGAAGTTGATATTGCAAAAAGATTAATGGATTTTGGATTTCATGCACCTACAATTAGTTTTCCTATTGCAGGTACATTAATGATTGAACCAACGGAATCTGAATCTAAGTAATTTATATAAAATAAAAAAATATATATAAATAGATTTATTTATATATAAAAATATATATATATATATATTATATATATTATATATTTATATATTTATATATTTATATATTATAATATTTATATCAGGTAAGAATTAGATAGATTTGCAGAAGCTTTAATATTTATAAGAAACGAAATTTAAGATATTATTGATGGAAAAATAGATAAAGATAATAATCCCCTTAAAAATGCACCACATTCACATACTGTGGTTACTAAAAGTGAGTGGAAATATCCTTATTCTAGAGAATAAGCAGCTTATCCCTTAGCTTGGGTCAAAAGTAGAGGTAAATATTGGCCTCCAGTTAGTAGGATTGATGATCCTTATGGAGATCGTAATTTCTAATGTTCTTTGAATGGTTATTGTTGATAAAAAATCTATTTATAAAATTTTTTATATATATATATATAAATATAATTAATATAGTACTAATTTTTTGTCATTTGTTATTTATTAATTATTTAATAAAAATTATCTAAATTTTTTTTAATTATTAACATATATATTTTTTAATTTTAATATCTTGTTATTTTATACAAATGTTTAGTGATTAATAATTATACGAATAAAAAGTTTTTTTAAGATCATATAAAGATGCTTTAGATTGCATTAAGTAATTTATTTATTTATATTTAAAATAAAATTTTTAAATTTTATATATAGATAAACTGCTGAAATGAAAAAAAATGAATAAAATTATAATATGTTTGAATCAAAAATAATTGAATAAAAAAAATAAAAAGATGTAAAATATAATAAAATATATATATAAAAATATGTATTTATATATATAATTTAATAATATTTTAAATAAATATAGTATCAATAAAATTTTAAAGAAATAAAGCTATTCTAATATTCAAAGTTAAATAAAAAAAAAAATTATTATATATATTAATTTAGTTTCATTTTTAAGAAATATTTTCCTGCATTTGATAGTTTTTAAGGCGATTTTAATCAATTAAAACATATTTTAGACGAAGGTTTTAATAAAATGTAAAATGAATTTAATTAATATTAAGAATAATAAAAATAAAATTGAGAAAATAAAAAAAGATATAATAAAAATTAATAATTTTTTTAAATTGCAATTATATTATATTATCAAATTAATATTTTTTTTTAACAATTTGTCATATTTTAATTTCAAAAATAAATAAAAAAAAATAATATATTCTATTTTTTAGTTTTTTTTTTTTTTATTTTATATTTTTTTTGTTTTAAACAAAAAATTAAAAATAAAAATTTTAAAAAATATAAAAAAGGAATCATACAAATTTACAAATATCTTTTCAAAAAATTCATCAAAAATATAATCAAATATATAAATATATTTCTTTAATATATAAAAAAATAGTCAAATATTCATATTCCCTTTTAAATCTATTTTTTTTACTAGAAGTTCAATAAATTCTTATTAAGATATCTGAAAAAAAATATTGATATAAAAAAAAATTATTAAATATATATAAATATAAAAATAATTATTATCATAATTTATTTTTAATATTTCTGTTTTTTTATAAAAAAAAAATTATATAATAATTATCATAAATATAATTTTTAAATTAAAATATTATAAAAAATATATATATATATATAATATAGATTTTATATATATCTACTTTTCCATCATTATTTGTATCACTTTCTTTTAAAATTTCCTACCAAGTTTATTCGTCTAAATCTGTACCCCCCATTATCATTTATAATTCACTCTTTTCAATAAATCCGTTTCCATCCTTTTTTTGTATTATTAAAAAATAATATTTAAATAAAAAAACTTAATCAAAAATTTTAAATGCTTTTTCTATTTTATTTTTCGAGAGAAGTTTTTCTTCTTACATAGCTGCAACAATAAATTCTAATATAACAATAAAAACAAAATTTATAATATATATATATATATATACATATATATATATATATATATATATATATATATATATATATATATATATTTATGCCTGAAAAATCAACTTTTCCAGATTAATTTGCATCTATAGCTCCAAATAATTTATTTACAATTTCTTCAGCTTAAGCTCTATTTTTACAAATCGACATATAACCTTAAATTAGTTCTTTTCTTTCCAATGTTCCATCTCCATTTTAATCTAAAACTTTAAAAGCTTTCAAAAGTTCTTCTTTTTCTTATTAAGATACAATATAAGTAGCTATGAAAGTTAATATAGCATTTCTTAGTTTATTCTTTGATTAAAATTATCCTAAATTTTATAAAACTTTTGAATTTAAAGGTTATTTTGAGCATGTTTTAGTAATCCATACATCATCGTAAGCTTATTAAGCAGAAAGTCTTTTAGTAGAGTCCTTTTCAAGCATTTTTTTTATTAAAGATTTAGCTTCTTAGCTTATTTATCCCCAATCTTCGTCATCAAATGTAAAATTACCTTCTTAAACACTTTTAAATATTTCCTTTTCATTAGAACCATTAAAAGGAGGATACCCACATAATAATATATATAATATAACTCCACAAGACCAAATATCACATTTCTCATCATAGTTTTAGTTTAAGACTTCTGGTGCAATATAATAAGGCTAAATAAATAATAAAATAAATATAAATATATATATATATATATATATATATATATATATATATATATATATATATATTTATATATATACAATTAAAAATATAATTTTTTTTTACTGTCCCTAAGCGTTTTGTCATTTTTTTTGAAGAGTCAAACTTTCTCGAAGTTCCAAAGTCTATTACTTTTAAATTTGAATCTGTTTTTTTCGAATCAAAGACTAAATTTTCAGGTTTTAAATCTCTTTTTTTTAATTTTTTTGTTTTTTTTGTTTTTTTATAATTAATATTTTATAATTTAAAATATTATTTTATATTTTTTCATAATTTAATCGAATTTTTTCATAAATAATAAATATATTTATTTTATTATTAATTTTTATTTATGTTATATTTTTTAAATTATTTTTTATTTATTTTACCGATGACATATTCCTCTTTAATGACAATATAAAATTGCTGAAAGTATTTATTTCATATAATCAGCAGCTTTTTTTTTTATATATATATATATATATATATATATATTATTTTATTATTATAATAATAACCTTCTTTTTCAGAAAACTAATCCATTTATTTAATTCTTTCAAATAATTCACCTCCTGAACAATATTCTGTTATTAAATAATATAATTATTCATCTTAATACAATTCATATAATTAAATAATATTAGGATGATTTAAAGACTTTAAAATATTAACTTCAGCAAACATTTTTTCTTCTTCTTCTTTAATAATGTTATTTTTTTATATACATTTCATAGCTCTTAATAATCCTTTTTATTTTTTATTTTTATTTTAATTTTTTTTTTTAAAAAAAAAAATACCCGATTTTTTTTATTCTACTAATCTAACACATCCAAAAGCACCTTCTCCTAATAATGAACCAAATTTATACTCTTATTATATATTAGTTGTTTTTAAAGAAACAAAAATTTCGGGTCCTTGGGATAATTTACCATTTTCTTTTTTTTAAACCACATTATTATTATCTTCTGCTTAATTATTATCTTTGTATTATGAATTTGGGTTTTTTTTTACTGTTGTACAACCCATTATTATATATATTTATATATTTGTTTATATTTTTTGTTTATTATTTAATAGATTAAAAAAATTTATTTATTATTTAATTTATAGGCGTAACTATTTTCTATTTACTTATGTTTTTTTACTTTTTATTATATTTATATGAAATAGGCTTTTTAAAAAAAATATTTACCCACAATTTATATATTAATAAGTTGCTATTTAATGTAATTATAAATTAAATTAAAAATAATAAATTGTTATAAAAAAAATAAAATAGAAATTTTTTACAATATAAAAAATATTAAAATACTATTTATTGACTATTTATATTATTTATTAAAATTAAATTTATATTTATATTTATAAAATTTATATAATTATTTATATAATATTTATTTTAAAAAAGAATTATAGTTTTCATTTTTTTTTTAATTTTATATAATAAAATATTATTTACTAAATAAAGTAAAATTTTTATATTTTTAATAAAATATATTTAATTTAAAATTAAAATATATTAGCCTTTTACCTTTTATAAATTATCTATTTTTAAAATTTAAAATTAATATATATATAGAAAAATTATTTATATAATAATTTTATATTTAATTTAAAAAAAAAAAAATATTAAACTCAATACATATATCTTATTATATTTTATTTTTTTAATAAATAAAACTATATAATTTTAATTACAAAAAAAAAAATTTTTTTTTTTTTTTTTTCTTAATATCTCATTTTACATTTAATATTTTTTTTTTAATATTTCCATGAAAAGCCACATATTAATTTTCTAAATCTCTTAATAATCTATTAGTAATTTTAATACTATTAATTTACTCTTTAATTCTATCCGCATTTAAAAAAATACCTTTTTCAATAAGTTCTTCTTTGGAATTAACAAAAACTGGATTTCTATACAAATCAGAGATATTATTAAGAATTCCATCGAAATCTAGCATAATAATTTTATTTTAAATAAACCCTAAAACCCAAATAACGCATTTGAAAAATCCCTTCCACCCTTAACACATAAAAATATCCCAAATACAGCAAAGTAAATAGGAGTTCATTGCGAATTAAAAGACACTTGAAAAAAGTGTTAAAAACCAACTCGGAGCATAATAATTAACATCAACTTTTTCTTATTTAAGTTTTCTGGAAAGTTCAGGAAGGAAAATATCAATAAGCCTTTCTAATTAGTAAAAAGTCTGCTTTAAATCATCGAAATTTGTAGTAAGGATATTATAAAAATACTTATTCATAATAACTTAAAAAATTTTATATGTATCGATTTCATTTTAAATAATTATATATAGAAATCCTGCTATATAATTCATACCTTAACAATAATTTATTTATGTATTATAATATGCAAATATTCTCAAAAGACTTTATAATATACTAGAGCTTATCTTATCTTTATGTATATATATTGATCGCTTTACATCAAGGGCTATTATTTCTTCTATACTTTCGTTTATTTGGTTTGTTGCTACGTTTCTTTTCATTTCTATATAATCAATATTTAGTTTTGGGACTTTTTGTATTTATAACCATATTTGTTTCCTGTTTTTTTATAAAAAAGAGTATACTTAGTCATTTATTAGGTAGAATTTAAATATTTTATTATCTATGTATTTATTTAATTGCTTATTTATTTACATTAGTTTAAAAGGAGAATCTTATAAATGTAAAAAAGGGAGAGCTTTTTTAATCAAATATGCAATTTTTTGAATATAAAGAAAGTTTTTTTAAATAGAAATATTTTTAATGTTTTCTTTATTTTTTTTATATAATAATGAATTGTGCTCTTTTTTAGAATTTTTAATTTTAAATTTTTCTTAGTCTTTTATAAAGGCAATAACTAAACTTAGTTTAATATTTGTTTTTTTAGCTAAATTTATTATTATTTCACTTTAAAATTCTACGCTTTTAAAATTAAAGTTTATAATATATTTATTTATTTATTCCAAAGCTGCGAAACTTAAAGCCTCTTCAATATAAAAAGCATCTTCTTTACTTTATTAAATTTCTGTGTTTTTACTCTTTTTTAGTAAATCTTTTTCCTTGTTTTTTTTCTGGTAAATTATTTCTTTGAAAATAAACTGAAATAATTTCTCCCAACGGTTCATTTAATAAAATATCCCACTTTCATTTACATGAAAAGCTATATTTTCCTCAAAGGAATCATTTTTTTTTACATTTATATACGAGTACATATATTTATTAAATTATGAAAATCTTATGAATCATTTATATTATTATCAGAACTCATTAATTTTATTATTAATTGAATATATTATAAATAAAATTAAAATTATTTTCTATTCATAAAGAAATTATCTTTTTATTATAAATATTCAAATGAATAGCTCAAAAACATTTTTCTATTATTAAAATTGAGTAATAATAAGGAATTTTACTGAAAATTTTAATCTAAAAATTATTAATTTTCGAATAAAGCTTTAACTAAATTCTAAATTTAAAAATTGTTGATTTCTTTGAAATTTTCTATAGTATTATTAAATTCATTAAAATTTCCATCAGTGGTTAAAGTATCCAAATTATCTTTTATTATATAAAAAAAAAAAAATCATATATTAAAAATTATTGATAATATAAAAATATAATTGAAATATTAATAAAATTTATATATAAATATTTAAATAAAAAGTATTTATATTTATATTTAATATTAATTTATATAAATTATTTGATATTTTTATATATATAAAATAATGAATAATTATTATTATATTTTTAATTATAATTATTTAATTATCTTTTTTAAGCATTATAACTTATATTTAATAATTATATAGGTAAAATATTTTAAAATAATATTATTATTTTATATATAAAGTTAATTTTTTTTTTTCTACTAACTATCTTAATTAAAAAATATATTGATATTTTAAATTATAAAATAATAAAAATATATATATAAAATAAATATGAAATTATAATAAATATAATTAATATAAAAATATAATAATAAATATATATATTATATTTAAAAATAATATACTATTAATAATATAATTATATTATAAAAACCTTATTGATCATTTTTCTGCTAAGTTACATAAGGAATAAAAACTTCTTGATAATTTTTGATTTTTTCAATAAAAATTTATTATTAACCTTTAGTAATAAATTTAAAAATATCCTACTTTTCGTCTTAATTTATAAATTTTTTCGATTCTGATATTTTTTCTTAATAACTTTTTGTTTATTAAAATTCTTATTACTAAAAGTTTTCATAAAATTAAATTAATTTTATTATTTATTGCCTTGAAAATTATATTCGGCTTAAATCATTTGAATCAAATTTTTTAAATAAAACAGGAAATTAATCATGAAATTATTTCCATTAAATATTCATAAATTTTATATTTTTTTAGCATTCTTCCCTATTATTATCTGTTTTTTCTTTCATTCGTATTTGTTTCTTAGCTACTTTTTCTAATATTTCCTCTTTTTTTATTCCTTTTTCTACTTATAAAGCTGTTTTTAGAAAAATTTTGTTATAATTTTCTACATCTATTCTGCTTTAATAGTAATTTTCTTATGTTTGTATTAATTTTTGTCTATTTTATTCTTAATTAATTAGCATTTATTTTGCTTTATGGGATGTTTAGCGGTTGGTTTACCTAAAATTTTCTATGAAAATCTTTAAAGGGTCTATTAAATCATAACATATGTTAGATGAAAAATTTTTAAAGTTTTAAGATGACTTAAATAGTAAATTAGATAAATTTTAGTAATAAAATAATAATTCTTCATCTTCTAATTGTTATTTAGTTATTTCTTCTAAAAATTATTGTGTTACTTTTTGTAAATTTGTTGAAAATTATTCATATTATTATTAAAGTTATTCGAATAAATTACATAAAATAAAAATGTTTGAAGTACTCTACATCATACATGAATACAATTCTTTATAATAATTCCATGATTGTTCTAATATTATATTCATTTTTTGTTAGTTTATTTTTAATAAATTTAATATTTAATTTATTTAATTAATTAATTAATGAATTAAATATATATATTATAATATAAGAATATATATATATATAATAATATATATATAATATTTATATTTATTATATATATAATATTCATATTTTAATTATTTTTTTTATATTTATTTATTTATTTAGAAAAAAAAAATTAGATTATTTCTTTTAAATTAAGTATATTATAATTGATATATATATCCGATGATATTTTATAATTAATCAATATGTCCAATGTTATTTTTATAATTAAGCTTTTTCTAAAATATATTTTCCTTCTTTATATTTTTAAGATTCTTCTCTAGCAAAATCCTTTATTTTTTTATAAATTAAAAAGTTTTTTGTCTTTTTTTTATTAATTAAAATATTATAAATACATATTTCCAACCCAATATAGTATGACATTTTTTACATAAAATATCAGATACAATATGTAAGCCGCTCAATAATATTCTTTGCTCTTAGGGACCGAATTTTATATTTAAACTAAATTTTAATTATATAAATTTTTATTATATATATAATTAGTATATATACACTGAATTAAATAAATAAGCTTTTCCATGTTTTCCTTTAAATGCCTTATTTTTGTATTATTTTTATATTTATTTTTTAATTTTACTTTTGAAATTAGTTCATTATATGTTGTTAAATGTAATTAGCATGTACCACATGCAAATACTTAATTTCCTTCTAAATAATCTAAATTTATTCTTCCCATTTAATAATTTTTTCTAAAAATTAAAAATGATCTTTTTTAAAAAAATTAAATAAAAATATAATTACTATTATTTTTTATTATAAGTATAAAAATAAAATCAAAAGTTTATTTTAAATATATAAAAAAATCTATTAAAAAGTATTTAAAATATAAATAATTTTCTTTATACAATCTTTTTTTTTGTAAATTAAGAATAAATAAAAAATAAATAAATTTAATATAATTAATTAAAAAAAAATTTAAATAATTTTTAAAATTTTAAATATGTATAAATAATCAAATATAACTTTTGTATATATATTTTTTATAATTTAAATAATAAATATTAAATATAAAATGCAACTATAATTGCTACACTTATAAAAATACTAAATAATAAGAATTTAAGTATATAAAGCAATAATGAAATAGAATAAAAGAGAAATATAAATGATAGTATTAAAAAAAAAATATATTTTTTTATTTATAAAATTATATAATAAATAAATTTATATTTTTTTTCATTTATTATAATTATATTAATTTACTTTATATTTTATATTATTAAAATTAAAATTATTTTAAAAAATATTATTAAATATAAATACAAAATAATAATAATAATTAATTTATATAATGCAATAAATTTATATTTATATTATTTTTAATAAATAAGTTTTATGAAACAAATATACTATTTTTATTATACTTTTTTTATATTTTATCAAAATAATTGTTTATTTATATAATAATGTTAGTTTCATAATCTTAATCAAAATTAATTATTATCATTTTCATTTTAATTTTCTTTTTTTTTTAAATCAATTTTTTATATAATTTATATTTTTTAAAACATTTATATTTGGTTAAAGGATTATTGACAACATAATCTTAATTTTTTATCAATTATTTTGTAAATTTAGGAAACTCGAAAGAAGTAACTATAAATAAATTAAAAAAATTATAAAAACAATTTTATATATAATTAATTAGTTTACTTTTAGATTTATTTTTTGTAAGCATATTTTTAAAAGTCTCTGTTCTTTTGATTTCAGGAATCCACATTTTTTTACCATATTTTGATGTTTTTTAGGCCGTTTATAGTCTTTTAAACATTTTCTTTTTATTTTATTTTTTTATTAAAATTTATATTTTATATTTTTTTTTAAAAAAAAAACTAAATTTTTATACACTATTTTATTAATTAAGATTTTATTATCCTATATCTCTAAAATAATTAGCCATACTTTTAATATTATAATGTGCTTAAGAAATTTTATATTAATTTAAATCTGATTTTGTCTTATCTATATTCATCATTTTATTTAATAAAACTTTATTTTCATTAAAGATTCTTATATTATTTTCTAAAATTTAATAATAAATATTTTTATTTTTTTTAAAAAAAATAAAGTAAAGTTTATTACAATTTGTATATTTGTTAACTTATTTTGATAATGAATAAGAAGGTTACCAAGGTTTATTATTATCTATAGTAGGCTTTATGCTTGCTATTTTTTTTAAATGTTATCTTTATGCCTTTTTATTTATATTTATATTTTATATTTATATTTTATATATTTATATATTTATATATTTATATATTTATATATTTTATATAAATTACTTATGTTATTATTCTGTTTTAACAAACATCCTATGATAAGCAATGCATAGTATTCCACATATTATATTTTATTATTTAAATTTTAACTCTTTTTTTTTAAATATAAGTTACTTTAATTTAATTTTTTTTAATTTTATATTTTTAAATATAATTTTTATTTTATTTTCAAAAATTATATTATTAATTTATTTTTTATAATATTTTTTTGATATTATTAAATTAAATATCTTTTATTTAAAAGTTATATATTTATTCGTAAAATAAAAATAGTAAAACATAAAAATTATTAATGTTGCAAAAAATAAAAGAAAATAATAAATGATTTTGAAAGTTTTCATGATATTTAATTAGCTAAATGTTATTTAAATATTATGAGCTTTTAATAGTTATTTATTATTTTTTCTTTTACTAATTTCTATTTAATCTTTAAATATTATTTAGAAAATATTATTTGCAACTAAATTAAAATGTGGAATATCTGATTGAATTATAGAGTAAATTATAATCTCAACTCGTTCCTTTCACAACATTTAATTATATTTTATTTTTAAAAAAACTAATATATAATCAATTTTAATATTAATTTTTCATATTGTTTTTATTATAAAAAAATTTGCTTTATGTATATAAAAAATAAGTCAAAATATAAATAATTAGATAATAGAAATTTTAATAAATATTTATAAAAAAAATATATTATAAATAATTTAATAATAGAAATTTTAATAAATATTTAAAAAAAAAAAAAAAAATTGATAATTTTTTTTTTTTTAATTAAATTCTAAAATATAATTTTTTAGCTATTTTTATAAAAAAAAAAAATAATCTAATTAAAAAATGAAAAAAAATAAATAAAAAAAAACTCAAAAAAGCAAATAAACAATCAATTAACCAAATATTCTTAATGCTATAAGGGTATTAATAGCTAATATTTTTAAAGTAAATTTATTTTTTTTCATTAAAAGGGGGAATTTAACCAGACTTAAGCCTTAAAATAATACATAGATTAGAATTATTAAAATATAGAAATATATATAGCTGATAGATAAAATGAGGTAAATAAAATATAATCATTTTATTAATATTAATTTAAAGAAAACAGTATTACTTAATATTTTGAAATCAGAAATAAAAAAGCAAAATAATTATATATTAATTAGAACTTTAGAATTTAAAAATAAACAAATTTTGTCCTTTGTTTTTATTCAAAAAAATAGAATAAGAAAAATTTACATATGAAGGGCCTGTTTAATCAGTTTAATAAATAAACTAATATTGCATATCTCAAAAACAAGAGAAAAATAGTATAGATTTTGATCCCATTGTAAATTAAGGTAATATTTTATTTTAAAAAGGCGAAAAAATTACACTTGATAAAAAAACAAAGGAGATATCGAAATTAAATTGACTTTTGTTTTATTTTTTTAAAAAAAATAAAAAAAATTTCGAGTTAAATAATTAAATTTTTATAATAAATATATAAAATATTTCTATATAATATATATATTTTTTTTTTTTGTAATTTATTTATTTACACTCTTTTTTTTTTAATTTTATACTAGTCATATCAGTTTTAACTATTTGACCTTTACTACTATATTTTTTTATTTATAAATAAAGCTTTTTAAAAATTATAATTGCTTTTTGTTTTCATATGTTCACTTATAAGATTTTTAATAAATATGATTATAAGATTTATTTATAAGAAAAATACTCATTTTTATTTATAATGATTAATTTTATATTCTTTTTAATATTTATTAAAGTATATAGAATTTATTATTTTCGGCTTTTTATAATTCTTAAAAAATTCCCGTTAATTTTTCTATGGGTTTTTGGTATATAAATTTTTCTTTTAGGATTTATTAAGTAATTCTTTTAATTTAATTACTTTAAGAATTATTTTATTGGTTTGTTAAATAATTATCTTTAAATTAATTGACATTATCATCACTGTAAGATATGCTTTCTTTAATTCTAATTAAAATTTTATATATAATTATTAATAATTGTATTAAATATAATATTTAAACTTTAGTATTTTTTTTTATATATTTATAAAATAATACTATTTTTTTATTATATTTTAATTTTTAATTATAGCAAAATATATTTAAGGTTTTTATTATATATATCGAATATTTTATAAAGCTTTGTTTACAAAATTATTACATAAAATATTATTGTATTTTAAGAGATATAATATATATAAATTATATTTGTATTTTATTTAGATTGTATGAATTATTGTTTTTATTATTATATTATTTTTATTAGTTATTTTATCTATTTATTCTTTTATATTTTATTTTTTTTAATAATATTAACTATTCTTCTTTTACTTTTTTTTCGATTTTAGTCTTTAGTTATTTTACTAATTTGAACATTTTTTATATATACTTCATCTAATTAAAATAAAGAAAACATAACATATTGTTTTTTTTTATTTACATTTGAATATTTAATTTATAAAAAATCTTTAAAAAGTATTTAATATATAAAAATTATATTAATTAATTATTTTTTATTATATTTTTATTTTATATATATACATAATAAATATAAAATAAAATTATTTATATAATATTAATTAATTTTAATTTATTTTTAAATATTAAAAATATATATATTTCTTAAACAACATATATATATATATATATTTATAAAAAAAAAAAACTAATATATTAAAAATAAAATAAAAGCAAAAGAAATTTTTCATTATATTTTCAAGCTTTACTGCCCTAATGAAATTTAATCATTTTATTAAATTTAAGAAGAATATTATTAGAAATTATTCTTATCATTTACTTCAAATTCATTTTCAAATTTATCATATTCATCAGTCAATTTAGTAATTTTCTACTTTTAAATAAAGTAATACAAAATAAGGAAAAATAAGAGTACGAAACCTATACTAAATCCAATAAAAAAAGCTTAAACATCTGATTCAAAGAATTATTTTCCAATAGAAACAACTATATTGACAAATTTAATACATATTTTTTCAACAGAAATATCACAAGTATTTGATATATACATGACTTTATAATTATTATTTCTTTCATCTGAAAAATCAGTAATATTTTATTTCAAAGTACAAACCATTTATACATTATTTTTTATAGTTTAAAAAACCTATATAGAATTAGAGGTAAGAGTCCAAATTATATTTTCGTTTTTTTCATCTATTAAAAAATCTTGTAAATTTTATATTTCAAATTAAAAAGTTTTATAAATATTCTTTATTTGTGACAAAGGAATATTTCTATATAATATATATATATTATCCTCTGCCTAATAAATTAAATGGTTTTATGAAAAATTCATTTTTTCAACTAAATATGGAGCATCTTCGTTAAAACTAATATTATTTCCATTAAAAATTTCATAAATA